GCACTCAAGACATGTTCAAAGATACGAGTTCCCATTCATTTTCTCAGGAATCTGTGATACTTAGTGAGTCACAGACGGAGTCACACTCAAAATCTCAACATTGACACTGATTCATCCTAAGTAATATAAATTTTCTTGAACACAGAATATAGCATTTGTCTTTTTCTCCTCTAGATCCATTTTAGAGGGGGAGGATACCTAAACAAATGATCTAGTTAGTGACTGTAATAGGCTGAAGAATGTGACTCTGCAGGATTCAGAGGATCAAAGATGGACACCTATACTTCTGTATGTCCAATTATTTTTCCCATTTTAAATATAGTAAGTTTTGATTTTCTAAAAACACCATAATGATAAATTAGCCTTTGCACTAATGTTATGAACAAAGTCTTGTACTAAAATTTATTCTAATTAGACACCAGAAAAATTTGAGAATGCCTTCTGGAGAATGTGTCTACACATGTGAACTGTAGGGTACAGAGGTCATTTTTGAAACACTAGAAAATCTGAACCCATCAAGAGCTTTCAGTTAAAGTGTTAACAGAGACATAGGATAAAGATCCTGAAGAGATGACAAGAAATGATATTGTGAGGTCCCACAGAAAACAAGAGGAAAAGGCAGTCCAATAGTATAAGAACAGTGTATGTGCGAGTCTATTTGTGCTGAGTATGTATGTGTGTATTTGGTACAGCTCAGGTTATAGTCATAAAGCCTCCTAACCGTGCAGATTGAGCCCGTGAATAGGAGACTGGGTAAGCTCCGGTGAGGATGCCACATGATAGAATCCGGCTGTGCCGTGAGTACAGAGCCACAGGCTGGTGGAGAACGGCTGTTCTCACGTAGTGCGGGGGATGCAAGCAGAGTGAGGAAATGCAGACGGCCCCTGTAGAATGCTCCCATTCACTCACACACTCACACTCTCACACTCACACTCACACACACACACACAAACTCACACACTAGACATGAACTCGTGTGTGCACAGCGCCTGTCTGGAAGTGAACACAAGAAGAGGCTGGGCCAGGGGATGCCCCTGGGAAGGAGAGCTGGGGGCTGGGCCCGGGGGCCGGAGAGACCCTCTTCTTTCTGTGCTGCTTGAACTTTCACAGGGAGTCTAGTAGAAAGGACGAGCTGCTGGTGGTGAGCAGCGCCCGCCTCCCAGCGGGAGCCCTTCCCCAGCAGGTGCGCGTGGAGTTGGCACCCGTGCTTTCTCTGGGGAAGCCTGGGGTTTGGCTGCAGCAGAAGGCGGATTTGTGGCTGACCCTTAGTGAGCAGGGCAGGGATGTCTCCCGGAGCAGTGGCGTCGTCTCTGCAGGGGCAGCTCAGTTCCGTGAACGTCACTCGAGGCACGCGTGGTGGTACAGGTGGAGACTCTTGTAGCTGCAGGGAAGCTGACGTCATGCACGAAATAGGAGACCCCCTGGCCTGCCTGTCCCCTTCTCAGCTTCGACAGCATCTTCGATGGGAAAAGGAGCATCTTAAACCCAGCCTCAGGGTCACAGAGACCTGGCCCATGGTGACCTGGGACGCAACCTAGGGAACCTGGGGCCACTGGGCCATCCTGTTGCCCAAGCAAAGCCACAAATCCAGAATCTCTGGGTGGCATCTCTTGAGTCTTAAACAAAAGGAACTAATTCAGATTTTCTTTAAAAGTAGGTGGACCAGGCAGAATTTGTCCATAGGTTAGCTTCAGCTCTCAGGCAACTCCTGGTTTGGAAGCTGTTAAAAGTGTGTGCTGTGTTGACTCGGGGGCTCTTCCGTGGGTGACAAGCAAGCCTCTAATCATGTGTGCTTGGTGCTTCTCTCTCCTGCATCCAAGGCATCAAGACAGAAGACAGCCTGAACCGTTCCCCCAGCCAGAGTGGGTTCCTCAGCTATGGCTCCAGCTTCAGCACCGCACCCGCTGGACAGAGCCCATACTCCTACCAGATGCACGGTCAGTGTGATGCCGCAGCCCCCCGTGCCTGTGTCTCAGACCTGAGTTGGGGGTCCCTCCATCCACTCGTCTGTTCGGCAGATACATTGAGCACCTACTGTGTGCCGGGCTTCAGCTCAAGTAATGAAGTTGTGGTGGTGGAGAAGGCAGATGTGAGATCTGCCCTCCTGGGAACTCCATGGCATGGTGATGACCAAGTCAGCTGATTAACCAGATAATCTCGGAAAGGGTTGAATGCAATGAGGCAAATAAGCCTGGTATTTGGAGAGAGCGATGATGGGGGGGGGGGGGTCAGGAGAGGTGGGTGTGTTGCTTTAGACCAAGTCACCAGGGAAAGCGCTAAGAAGAGGACTTGGTGTGGACCGAAAGGGTGGGGTGAAGCCAGCTGTGTCGGTTCCCCAGGGAAAAGCGTCATAGTCAGAGGAGGAGGCAGTGCCAAAGCTGTACAGAAGGAAACGTGTGGCTGCATCTGAGGTGCAGAATGGAGACCAGGGAAGCTGGGGCAGAGAGAGAGGGCGCGTGGTAGGAGGAGTCTTGGAGGGAGCAGAGGGGGGTCACACAGGGTCTTGAGGGCTGTAAGAAGCAGTTGACTGGCTCTTTAAGTGTGATGGGACAGGCAGGTCTGCTGGAGAGCAGAGGAATGCGGGGGGGGGGGTGTTGGACAGGCAGGGAGAGGAGTCGTTATCCCAGGCCTCCCACAGGGCCTGGGAGGGGAAGGAAGGATTCCAGTGCGTAACCCCAACCCTGTGCCCTAAGAGACTGGCTTGCTGGTCGCCTGTGCCCGCCTGCACCCCTTCAGCTCCCTAGAGCCCCTGTCGGCTTTGACACCCCCTTGGTGCTGTGTTAATGTGGGTGCTTGGGGGGAAGCTTTGGGGAGCCCCATCCCAGTATCACATGTGTCCCACAAGCTGCAAAAACAGCCACCAGGAATCTGAAAAGTAAAATGCAAGCATGGGAACGTCCTGACGAGGTGCCGGCTAACAAGTGATTGTACATTTTCTTGTAAAAAGCCACACGGGAGCATGTTCACTGGACCTTTTTAACGTTTTAGTTAAGGACAGCAAAGGCTCTCGGGGGCATTTGTAGAGCAAAGGGGTGCTGGGCATCCTGCTCCGGCCCTCAGAGCGGCTCCCATGTAACGGTCTCTGTCCCAGCTTGTGGGGGCGCCGCCCACGGATGGAGACTAATCCCCGGGCGCCGGGTGATGTGGCGTGCTCCATCTCATACGGTCCTCATGAAACTCTGAGGTGCTGTCACTGGTTGCATTCCCATCTCGAAGAAGGGAGAAAGCAGGTGTAGAGGGAATGATGGATTTGACCAAGGTCAGGATGCAGAGTGTAGACGTTAGCACAGGTGCAGCAGGACACGGACTGCGTCGAGTCCCTGGAAGGGCTGGTGGAATCCCGGCCCCCCATCTCTCCCCAGAGCCCTTGGCCGTGACGTCTCCTGCCTCCTCTGCTTCCGCCATCACCTCCGTCTCCCTGATGGCGCTGCTCTGGGTCCCACGAGAGCATATAGATTCCCAGGACCCAGTGGCGCCAATCCCAATAATGAAAACTGTGAGGACAGTGAATTTGAACTCGTGTTGGGGTTCATCTCAAGCTAGTTTCTTTCTGTATTTTTTTATTTATTTATTTTGACAGGTAGAGTTAGACAGTGAGAGAGAGAGACAGAGAGAAAGGTCTTCCTTCCGTTGGTTCACCCCCCAAAATGGCCGCTACAGCCGGCGCCTGTGCCAATCCGAAGCCAGGAGCCAGGTACTTCTCCTGGTCTCCCATGGGGTGCAGGGCCCAAGCACTTGGGCCATCCTCCACTGTACTCCCGGGCCACAGCAGAGAGCTGGACTGGAAGAGGGGCAACCGGGACAGAATCCGGCGCCCCGACCGGGACTAGAACCCGGTGTGCCAGCGCCACAAGGCGGAGGATTAGCCTAGTGAGCCGCGGCGCCAGCCGATGACACGTTTTGACAAAGCTTGTGAAAGACACAACCAGGGCAGCGTGAGGGACTCTGGCCAGGGAGGAGTGGGGATCCACCTTGATCCTGAGGTCACAGACCTGGGCAATGAGAGGACACAGCTGTGGGAGGAGCTGGAGGCGGAGTCCAGGCAGAGGGAGCAGCAAGAGCCAAGGTCCTGAGGCAGGAGCGGCTCCCAGGCTAAAGAAACTCGGGACTCTGGAGCGTGGTGAGCGAGGGGAGAGGAGGCGGGGCCCTCCCCGGACACTGCGTAAAGAATGGTTTCATTTACTCCCAACTTGAGAACACAGAGCAACCGCACGAGGCGGGACTGCTGAACCAGTGAGTGTTCCAGGCTGAGGTCAGGTTCAGAATATTCCAGAGCGTGCTGTGCCGCTTCCTCTGGGTGCTGACATGTCCTGGACTCCTTCCAGCCCGCGGGCCCCGCCATCCCCTCGACCCGCCCCGCCGTGGTCTCAGCGCGTGGCCGTCCCCTTAACCTCCCTGCAGCCCTGAGACTCAGGTTCCATCCTCAGCCCCAGGTAGGGAAACCAAGGCACAGAGTCGTTAACCAACTTGCCCAAGGTCGCATGGCCATGGCAGTGGGATGCGAAGCCAGGCAGCTGCCCCCTAGAGCCCAGGCACAGCCTCCCACTCGCCCCCCCCCCCAATGCAGCGCCGTCTAGAAGGCGACTCTCAAGGGCGAGCCCAAGCCTAGACCCCTCCCTGACCACCGTCCTCACCCGTCCCTCACAAACGGAAAAACGTCTCCTGCTCTGCTTCCGCCTCCACGTCCTTTCCTTACGGTCGGTCGGCATGGCCCAGACGCCGAGGCGCGGCGGCATCTGGCCTTTGTCCCGGTTAGCTGCCCACTGGTGCTGACGGCCAGAAACTGATCTCGAGACGGGGCCGGCGTTCTCCGAGCCTGAACTGTTCCCGCTCCAGGATTTTTCTCGAACGCTCGCACGCCATGCCCGTGTGCTTCCCATGATGAGTTGTTTTCCGCCTGAGTTCTCCCAGAACAGCTCTCAGCATTTCGGAGTAGGAGCCGCCGGCTGACTCAGGTGCGTGAAGCAGGAGGAAGGCGGGGGCTGGCTCAGCTGTGAGCACCGGCGATGTGGCTCCCTGAAATCGACCCGAGTCCTTTTCCCCTTGCAGAACAGACGGGTAGTCCTGGAGAAGCAGAAAGGGCCCACAGAGGGCACACACATCATTTTACAGGGGGTAAACTGAGGCACTGCGGCCAGGTGGAAGCATTAGATAAGCCAGGGTGCCTCCCCCAGGTGTCTAGCTAATTCCAGAAGCTTCCGCCCAGCCATCACGCTGCAAGGCGGCGGTTCCAGATCGGTGTCTGTTCAGTCCCCCTCCCCTTCCAATGAATGTCAGAGACAGGCTTGCAGAGCTCCCAGCCTTTGCATGGTTGTCGATTTTCTTTTTTGAGGGTCACTCCAGGTTTTAATAGCTGGACCATGTGTAATTCATATTGAATATATCTTCTGTATTTACATATTTATATTTACATGTGTGTACTTCTCATGCTCTCCTTTTCCTGGCATGTCTTTGTGGTTTTCTCGCCTGTGACACTGGCGTCCCAGCACGAGGGATGCCCTCGGATGCCCTCGTGTGGCTCCTGGAGACTGAATGAAATGGTTCACGGTCACGTCAGACGAGGTCCCGAGGTTCCTCTTTATTCTCCTGTGGGTGCAGTTCAGAGCAGGAACTGCAAAGTCAGACTGCGTTCAGCGCCGGTTCAGCAGGGTCCCAGCCGGGTGACCTTCAGAGGCTCTGTCTGCCCTGTGACGTGGGCGGGTTGAAGCCCCTGCCGCGTGGCGTGCCTGATGGCTCAGGGACTTGCGTTTGTGAAGTAGGTACGAGCCGAGTGGCGTTCGTCCCCGCTGCTGGCCTGCCAGGTTCGGGTGTGGCAGCTGCGGCTCCTTCCACGCCCACTTCCACTCATGAGCCGTCCATCTTAGGAAACAGTCGTGGTAAGAGAAAAGAAGCCTGTGGATCTGAGACCACTGAGACCTCCATGCCAGCGTTAACTGTCCAAGTTCACGGCCGTGGGAGCCCAGGGGATGTGCACGCCGAAGCTTAGGGCCTGGGCTGAGCCACCCCTGAGTGACCTGGAAACACAGACTTGAGGATTGCGGGAGAGTGGGAGGCTCCGTGGGAGTCAGCCAGGAATCCCAGCTGGGGACCTCCAAGGCCAGTTTGTGTCCCGATCTCTGGACTCCAGCGCTGGGTCCGGTCGCTTACCTTTCACAACCTGCGTTCCACTGCTGCAGGGCAGATAAATGCCCCTGAGAAAGAGCAAGGGGTCGAGAAGGGCCGTGGTCCGATAATCAACCCCATCTGGTAGAGCCACACACTCGTGCCGCGGAGTAAGTCGGCGTCTTCCCCACAGTGCTGCCCTGTGGCTCCGTGAGCTGTTGGCCACTGCAGCTCTCAGGGGTGATCGGTGGTGCCAGCGCCCCCTTGGATCTGGTGAGGGACCTGTCCCCGCGCCCAGGCTCTGGCTTCAGATCTGGTGATCTCTTAGGTCCCTTCCCGTCTTCAAATTCTTTAAATCTCCCTCTCTTTTTTTTTTTACACCATTTGTATTCCTTTTTTCCTTGTTTTTAGTTCATTGAGTTTTTACTATGGTAGCTCTGCTGAAGTCAGTGCCTGTTATCATTGCCTCCATCGTCCCTGTCTTCCACGTTTTCATCACCCCAAAAAGAAACCGCGTGCCGGTGAGCAGTCACCCCTCCCCCCCGCCCCGCCGTCTCCCCTCCCATCGATAGTGTTGCTTTTGCGGCGAGAAAAAGGCATTCGAGCGACTCCTCTTCCGCTCGTCTGGCTCACACGTCCGCGGAAGTCTGTCTCCCAGACCTGGGCAGTGACATCCTCTCGTGACCCCAACCCGGAGTCCTGTCCGCGACTGCGAGTACCCCGTGCGCAGTGGCTGTGACGAGGGGGAGTCCGTGTGTGATTCCAAAGGAAGTATGTGGTGCGGGCGCAGGAAGTCTGCCGCCGCCACGGTTGGTTTGCTTCTGAGTTCTCCTGT